TGCTAAAAAAAAAAGAAGAAAAAAAAAAAAGGAAAAAGAAAAACAGTTGTAGTAGGCTTAAATTATTATTTAAAATGTTAAATCTAAACATTTGTCAAATGGAGACGAAAGCGTTATCAACTTTAGTTGGAAATTGCATTTGTTTTAGTATCTTATACTATAGCATATGTGTTGAGCCGTTTTTTTTTTAGCTACAACCAAATTTCATCTCCTTAATATGGCCTTGATATTGACGTCACCCAGTGATTGTGCAGTCTCACTCCTACGCTGTCCATCAATTTCGAGGCTGGAAAAAGATTGTTTATATTAGAAAATTTTCTATTTATTCTAATTAATACCATACGTGACGAATTTTTCTAGTATTTCAGAACTAGAAAATTCTTATTTGGTCCCTTAAATATAGGATGTCTTTATTTCTCGAAATAAGACTAAGATAGACAAAGATTGAGCAAGAGATTTTCTCTCTATTCTTTTGCAGTCTGAAACCTTTTAACTATTTTTGTAAATTAGTCTGTGCATTTTCAGTGGTGTAACTTATTCACTTGGTTTACGTTAATACAAGTATTTGCTTTTGAATTGAAATTATTATTCTTTAGCAATATTTGTATAATGAAATTAAATAATATTAGTATCACTAGCTTTGGTATTGTTTTCTCTGCATGATGTTTTCTCACACGTTTGTTAAGCATACGAGCCAAAATCTTAACACAGATTACAGTTTCAAAACAATGATGGCACGTATCAGTATCATAACGAAAAATGGCAAAAGGTCCACCAAACGTCGGCTTATTCAAAAAGGGCTGTATCAATATCAATTCATTGACTTTTTAAATCCCCCTTTTAAATTTTGCGTTTTTTTTGTCTTCTGCAATTTAAATTGATAATGATTTATCGTCAAACAATATTTTATATGTTTCCTTAGTTTCCCTTTTTTCGCTCCCTTCTTTACGTCTATAATTTATATTGAATAGATATTATTTTATTTTGAAACCATCTGTCCATCACAATATGTTGATAGTGTGGACTTCGCTGGACGAAATGCAAAAGGTCTGGAATTATTTTTCTGGGATTATTTTTTGAGGATTGTAAGCTGGTTTTCAACAGCAAAGCGCCTCTCTCTACGTCGCTTGATAATCCAAGGGAACACAATGTGGATGATGCAGTTTGGGAACATTGGCGTGGCAAGGTTTGGGGATTGAACTCCTGACCGTCAAGTTGAAATTTGCTCAGTGTAGACTACTCAGCCACCTCATAGATATTATTAATACAGGATATTAATAATTATTTTAAAATTAAACTTATTCCTAAAGAAATTCTTTACCACTAAAAGACCCGGAGCCCATATCCATTTGCCATTGGGGTAATCTGATCCTTGAATTAAAATTTAAACAAATTGATTTTAACCAGAGCTAAAGCAAAATGGAGTCATATGAAACTATTAATAAAGAATAGAAATATAGCAACTGTGTATAAGAAATAATGCCCCATATTTCATTGTATTCAATGCCAAACCTGGTTATTAAACAATCTTCCTTTTTTATCATTATTTTTTTACTAAAGTTTGTTCACATTACATGACCTGCTCGTTAAACATATTCAAGGGGATATGTGGATTGCATAGTTAAAGAAATCATTTTAATAATGCGATTAAATTTTATTTTTGACATTAAATTACATAACACTTCAAGGGAAATTGACACAATATGTATCATTTGAGATAATTGTTATGTAAGAATATTAGTATTCCAACTAAAGTTTTTATAGACACTATAGTGTAAAGACTAATTAACAAATGTCATGGTATCAATCATATAAAGGATGCAAAGGTGTTGTCTTTTAAAAGTTAATTAATTGGCTTTTTTTTTTATTAATATTGAATTCCTTTTTTAAGCAATACCAGGGGATAACAAAACACATTTTTTGCAACCATCTGTAGGTCAGGGGGAATAAGAATGTCACTTTTGGTTGCCATGTATTTTTATTTTTGTATTTTCTGGAGATCGATCAACTTTTTACATTCATACACACATACACAAATAGTCACACTGAATTTTAACAGACATACCAACATACACAAATAGACAAACTGAATTTTAACATACATGCAAACATACACAAATAATCACATGGAGGTTATCAAATATATATATATAGTTCAGTTTCATTCGTTTCTATACTTTCGTTTCTTCGACCTAGTTGAATAGCCATTTTTAGTACTAGTAGATACACAACCAAGTGGTGTAGCTAGAGTTTGTGCTGATAAATGCACAACCTAATGGAGTAGCTAGTGTTTTTGCCCATAGATGTACAACTAGTGAGGAAGCTACTGTTTTTGCCGATAGATGCACAACCGAGTGGAGTAGCTAGTGCTTGTCCTGATAGATACACAACTTAGTGGAGTAGCTAATATTAGTGCTGATTGATACACACTCTAGTGGATTAGATAGTGTTTGTGCTGATAGATGCACAACCTTGGGGAGTAGTTAGTTTTAGTTCTACCTTAGACTTGCCAAGACGTATGCCACGTTCCAATTAACTGTACAAACTGCGATTTTCATCAAATGCTGCCACTCCATATAAAGAAAAACACATCTGGGCTGACCAACCAATTCACCTCACTTGCAGCGGCGTAGCTATTGTGTTTTGCACCAGGGAACATTGATTCATGCTCACGCAGCCCACCCCTCTCCTCAACTCTTAAAACGATTAATTTGATAAATTAAATACCAGCACACCCCAATACTGGCGTCCCCCTAGAGTGGTGCATGGGGATATCTGCACCCCTCTTTCCCCATTAGCTACGCCACTTTAACTGCCAACCCCCCCCCCCTCCAAAATCTGAAATGCCCTCCCGGGGGAAAATGTCTGAAAGAGACACTAATAAGATTGCACTCGCACTAGGCTACTACAACGGTGACGTCAGAAATATTGTTATAAATTATAGTGCGTTGAAATGCAGAGGCTGATAACTAGTTAATGATAAATATCCACGTAGGAAAGTAGAATCAGGCAAGTGGTCAAATAATCTGTTTTATAAAGGGGAAATAAAAACTTGATTTAAGATAAGATACGATTCTTTTATTGATCTAAACCAGGGGTCTCCAAACTTTTCCGCCCGAGCGCCGCATTAACTATCAAACAGTAGTTCGCGGGCCGACTGCGCACTCGAGCAGGGTTTCTGTCAGTATTATCTTGGGGGAGGGGGGCCTCTAAAAAGGAAGGAAACCCAAGTCGTCGTCCCCAAGCAAAAACATTTCCAAACATGAATCAACTAGCACTGACCCCAGCCTCTCCCCCCCTCCCCGAGGGAAAGCCAAGTGCCCCCACGCCCCGAAGCAAATTATTTCCAACAATGAATCAACTCATTGCTGGCACTGCCCCTCCCACCCCCCGCAAATCTAAAATTCTACCCCCCCCCTCCCCGCCCGGCCGGGTGAAATTTTCTGAAATAATCACTGCACTCGAGGTCCAAAAAAAACAGAATCAAAACATGGATGTTGTTTTTAATTATTTATATAATATTATTTCATTCAGTTAATGACCTCCAGCTGCAGATCCTCTGGACAACTGGCCACATCTGTTTCAACTGGGTTTTGAAAAAGTCTCACTTCTTCTGCCTTTAAATCCAAGTCAGAAAACCGTTGCTGAAAATGCAGCTGGGGGTCTTTGATGATCTCGCATGCAAATGACGTGGGGAACTCCGCTGTTGCTTCAGCCATGAAGACCGTCCACTGCTACAAGTTGTTGGCCTGTACTTGTTCCAAAAACAAGACGAGTTTGGATCTGAAGGCCTTTAAGAGGTGTATAGATCTTGTGTTATGTTCATGTCTTCAACAACACTCCTAACGAACACAAGCAGTTGAGAGGCGGAACAGCTGTCCAGCGATTCATCCATTGCAAATAAAAAATGGTGAAACTTGCTTGCATTTTTCGATATTTAAGTCACATGGTTTTCACCCATGTCTGCAACACGGCGGGCAAAGCCCAGCAACTACTTGTCATTTCATTCACTGTGAACGAAAGTAGAAAAACTAAGCATCGAATAAGATTTTTCAATGTAATGATCTGTTAGAAAACATAACCCACTACTGCGCGCCTCTATTTTAATTCGGTAAAAACATAAAGTCCACGTAAGCGGCGTCTGATCTTGTCAGGATACACGTACTCTTGAGTAATTTTTTTAAATTCCGTTTACAAAAGGTCTCCGCGGGCCGCATGAGAGAGCCTCGCGGGCCACATGCGGCCCGCGGGCCGTAGTTTGGAGATCCCTGATCTAAACAAATGAAATTTTATTTTTGATTGCATTTTAACTATGCATTTTCAGCAAATAAATAAATATATATTTATTATTCCAAAAATTTAAAAACAAGACTCCTACATTAAATAATTTCACTAGTGAAAAAAAAACGTATTTTAGTGCACTCCCTTAGTCACAACAGGGACATGTTAGTTCTCCTTTAGATTTGTGACTTCTTTGGGAGCACGCGGTTAAATTCGTACAGATTGGTGGAACAAACGAATTTTTTTATCTTTCAGTCCGCGCCCCGAAAGAAAGAATTCGTCTCGGACGGGACGATCTTAATATAGAGAGAATGGGATGTATAGAAATTTAGGCTAAATTTCCTGGTAGTGCAAGGATGAGTTTCTAATTTTGTAAACAATATATATATATATATATATATATATATATATATATATATATATATATGTGTGTGTGAGAGAGAGATATGATGTGTGTATGGTGGGTGTGTATATAAAGTGTTAAAGCTGTAAAATAAGTGTACAGTTGTTAACAGGTGTTTGAGCTATTCGAAACTCTGATTTAACATAACATAATGTAGCTGCTTCTCTTGACAGGCCATTTCTTATCTGTAAAATGCCTGTGCTATACACCTGGGTGAAAATAAGAAACGAACAAATATGGGTGGGGTTAAGTCAATACACTTCTTTCTAAGTTAGCCATGACATTTAAGAATTGAGGTAACTAAAGATAAGAAATTTTTGTGTAATGGTTGGTAAGGTTTTTGATCAAGGATTTCCATTGAATAAAAAGTTATGGAGGAATTCAGAATTATATATTTCTTCAGAAGCATAAAAATGTGTTTAAAAAAAATCTAAATGTCAAATTGTTCATAACTGAATATAACGGAATTAAGTAGTTCTACAGTTAAGAGATTTTCCTAAAATTAAAATAATTCCTGGGAAGACATATTACAGAAAATATATTGAGAACTAAGATCATGTAGGGATGATTATAATTCGTTTAAAAGAGAAAGGAACAAGAATATTATTATTGTTTTAAGTTATGATTCGTTCCGGATAGTGTTTCTATTAATTGATATTTTTTTTAATCATCTCGAAAAATCCTTGTTGTGATCTGTTTCATGGAATTAGTTCTTGGATTACAGAATTACTTTCTAGCTTAAATTTAAAAGAGGTTGGTGGTAAATTAGTTAGCCGCCAAAAAAAATAAATAAACAAAAACGACACCCTGCAGGGAAAGATTTATGACGAAAATTCGGTTGGCTTAAATGTGCCGTAGAACCAGCCGAGCAGGTTAACATTATCTAAGTACTGTGGACGTAAAAGTTATCTTAATATCTCTACCAGGAAGAAAAAAATGTTGTTATAAGCAAAAAAGAAGAACTTTTAAAGCGTCTGTCATTGCAGCTTACATTAATATGATCATCTTCGTTTGGATACTTTGTTCAGCTTGGGTAAGTATGAATATTTATATGTTCATTTATAAAAGGTTTTGAAGAAGTCCTTATACTACAAACGATACATTTACGCTGAAATCTTAATTTTTTTAAACAATTGAAGTTTAACTCAGCACAGTCTACTGTTCAATGATTATGTATGGGTTCATGCAAATGCTGGGTACCACGCTATAGAAAACAACTTATAATTTAATAAAGCGTGTGATAGACGATTATCCAGCCCCTGCAGACCTTACTCTGTGTGAGATGTTAAGGAAGCATCGTCAGCGAACAGCAGTTCACGAATCCGCACCTTTTTTACTTTGGTCTTTGCACGAAGGCGGGCGATATTGAACAGTCTTCCATCAGATCTTATATGAACGTACAATCCATTTTCAAAGTCACTGAAAACAAATTGAAGGAGCATCGAAAATAAAATTGAAAAAAGCGTTGGTGCCAGTACACAATCCTGTTTTACTCCGCTGCTAACTGGGAATAGAGACAGTACCATTGAAAGTAAATGTGCAGGGCATGTTTTTGTGAAATGACTGTATTATTGTGAGAAGTCGTGAGGGACAACCTATTCTTTGCAGGATACCGAAAGGGCCTCTTCGACTTACAAAGTCAAATGCTTTGGTCAGGTCTATGAACGCAATATAAAGAGGCATATGCTGTTAGCGACATTTCTCCTGCATTTGGCGTAATGAAAATATCATGTCTATTGTTGAGCGCCCACTCCTGAAGCCACACTGGGACTCTGGGTAGATCCGGTTCGCAAGACTCTGCAATCGTTTAAGGGCAACACAGGCAAAAGTCTTTCCAACTAAGCTAAGGAGAGAAATACCTCGGTAGTTATCGCAATCACTTCGGTCCCCTTTATTTTTAAACAATTTTAACGATTTTGTCGTCTCTAAAGTCCTGGGGAATGTGACCTGTTTCCAGACACAGACAGAGGAGCTCATGTAAGGGCTGAAGTAGGATAGGTTTTCCATTTTTTAGGATTTCCGCTGGGATGCCGTCGATCCATGGAGCCTTCCCATCCACAAGGTAATCGATGGCCTTTTCGAGCTCCTGTAAATTGTCTTTCATCCAGTTCATTCATTACTGACAAGGCAGGAATAGTATGCAGAGCGGTCTCAGTGACTACATTCATTGTAGAGTATAGCTCAAGATAATGCTCTACCCAACGCCGGAGTTGATCATTTGGATTCTTGATAACTTGACCCGTCTTGGACTTGAGTGGTGCTATTTTTGACACACACTATCACACGCTTGTAAAGAGTTTGGACTTTCGATTAAAAAAACAGAAAATTCATGTAATGATGCAAGAAGCACCGTCCCCTCCAATCATATGTATTGAGGGTCATAATCTTTCGGTTGTTTATCATTTTACATACCTGTGATCCAATATTTCTAGTTCTCTCTCCGTTGATGAAGAGATAAATATCAAGATTGCAAAAGCAGCAGCAACTATGGCTAAACTGAATAAGCGGATGTGGAATAATCTCAATCTAACTGATAAAACAAAAATAAGTGTCTATCAGTAATGTGTGCGGAGCACGCTCTTATGTGGTAGCGAAGTGTGAACCACAATCATCAGCCAGGAGCACAAACTCAACAGCCTCCATCAAAGATGTCTGCTTTGCATTTTGCGCATTCGTTGGCAGGACAGGGTGCCTAACGTGAAGGTCTTGGAACGTGCACACATGTTTAGCATATTCTCCTTTTTAATGAAGAGGCGCCTTCGCTGGTTAGGTCATGTACGGAGAATGGAGGAAGGACGTATCCCAAAGATTCTGCTGTATGGAGAGTTGGCAGAGGATACAAGACATATTGGACGACAGCGCCTGAGATTTAGTGACGTTTGCAAACGAAGCATGAGGGAAGCCAATATTGAAACAAACGAATGGGAGTTCATTGCCGAACATCGTTCCAACTGGCGAACAGCAGTGTTTGAAGGAGTAAAAAAGACAGAAGATACCGAAACGAGGCCTTTGAATCAAAAAGAACAATTCGGAAATCAAGAATTTACCGTGATTCAATATTCTCCTGAGAGAGATGCGGCCGTGATTGCCTTTCTAGGATTGGCCCAGTGAGCCACTCGTCAAAGCATAGAACTATATAGCTACTCCATCGTGTCACGCAGACGGCAGGATGCCATGTATAATTTAATAAAAAATAAAAAATATGTTGTCTCTGCTCACATTCAACTGCTTAAGATTACTCTAAATACGCAAATCACACCAGGAAGCCGTATATCAAGTGGCTTACATACCAACTGACTCATATATCAAATGAATAATACATCTAATTCACAACATTGGCAACAAAAGCGACAAAGCCCTACACAAGTACTACGTTTATTGATAACCAGCATTTTTTATAGAACGCACTAAACATTCGAAAGATGAAAACAAAACATATGATGACCTTTATATATACATGTTTTGAAGTTTAATTCTTTGAAAAATACACATACGAGACAAACATTAATTAAGGGCTATTAAATCAATCATTTCCAGGTCATGCTTGTGACTGAAGCTGTCGTTTGTGCTCCGTCCAAACCAAATCTTGCTTCGTATGGGAGCTACTGTATTTCTAGCTCTCAGTGTCAGACGAACCATTGCACCGGAAATAGATGTGTATGTCCCAGTGGTAACTACTACCACAGCTGCTCATACTCGTGTGTACCAAGTAAGTTCCATTGACAAACTTACTTAGACGAATAATGTTAATTTTTTTATTTTTTATTTAAACAAAATACGAGATTGTAAAGCTTTAAGAACAAAATAGTATTTGCAGTTTTACAACTATGTGTTAGCAAGCGTAACGTACATATTATATTTTCATATATAAAGACATTAATTGGATTCATAAAACCAAATGATGAATAAAAATAGGATGAATAAAAATATCTAAGATTTTAAGACGAAATTAAGTGAGCTAATGTAAATACACTTCAATCGCATGCACTATTCATTTTCACAATGTATTTATATTGTCTTCCTTATTTTTTAACAGCTTTATACTTTAAATATGTTCATTGGAAACAATAAAACACACTTAATAATAAGGTGTTGGGTTTTTTTCAGATTGTAACACAACCATATATTCCTCCTACGGCTTTTTGGTGAGTCCAAATTACCCAAATAATTACAAAAACTACGAAAACTGCTTTTGGACTATTTATCGAGCCACTGGTCATGTGCTATCGTTCACGTGAGTATCTTTTTTTATATTGGAGCCACATTTAAAAAAAAACTGTAAACAAAATTATTTCTATAAAACATGGGTTCAATCTTGATCCTTTTCCCCCCAAATATTTCGTTATTGTTAAATTGTATCCCCTATAGTTTCCAGTACAATCACTATTAAAATATATAATAAGTTTTCTTCACTTTTCCGCCTTGGTTATTTTATTCCCTTCAACAGGATCAGGCAAAGAGAGGTGAAATTCAAGTTTAGACCCTAATTTCTTGGACTTATCTTTTGACTTCGAGACTGACTCATTTTATCCCGATCTTTAATAATACAAGAATACAAAAATATTATGATTTCGATATATAAATTTGATTAGAAAGAAACTGTTCATCCTCTGTAAACTTTATTCAATTCCTTATTTCGGGATAAAAGATATGAATCATCTGCTATGCACTACTTTAGAACTTGTCAAAAGCGTGTCATATTTCTTATCCAACCAAAGCTATCACTTAGGTCAGTGCACACGAAAATGTGTTTTGATATAGTTTGTGAGCCTGGAAAAATGGTGGAAGATCAAGAGACTTTTCCGATTATGCCTGGGAAATTAGATAAGACAATGTTAGAGATGGGTTCAAGTATGGTTCACACCACCATGAAGTTAGCGACAAAGCAATGTGTAGGGAAACCTTACTACAAGCCAGTGAAACCATCCATCGTTTCTTAGGCTAAAGTTTGTATACAATGTAGAGTTTCCAAGACTAAAGCTTGTGTACAATGCTAGACTTTCTAGCCAAAATATTCATCGTGCAAGGCATATCCCAGATGCAGTTTTAAATCGGCGTTTGCATCTTTGTCAGCCGTGTCTTTTTGTCAATATTTTGGTTATGGGGCCACTGATTCCACAAGCGTGATTCATTTAAGCCTAGACTCCCAAGGGGATTTAAGCTGTTAATTTCCCCCATTGTAGGCCAGCTGGAGTCAAAGGGATGCTGCTAGTAAGTTACTTCATCCAATAAAAACTATCATTGACCATCTGTTTAGCCACTTTCATATTAGAAGGTGCTAGGTAAATTGGTCTGTAACTGGAACAAAATAATTCAGCATTCCGTCCTTTGGGATTTTTAAAATTGCTGTTTTCGCGAAATCTTTGGAAAATTGCTTGTAGCCACACTTCGTTGTTTGAGTCTGAGAGGCGATTCATTCACTTCTTCTACCAGGTAACCGTATTATAGCATATCTTGTCAGGGAAAGAAAGTTGAGTGATCAGCAATTTCCCAGATCGGTGTGCAATTAAGGCATCGTCATGGGAGTCAACAAAACCTTGTGGTAAATTCCCAATCGTTGGGATCGTTCTCCCTATTGCTGAGATGATTTCTTCAAACCCTAGGGCTTTTTTCCATAGGCTAATCTGTGTTCGCGGGACTATCTTTTTTCCTTCTTTGTGTCATAGAGTTAACCGATAAGACCTCAGGTTCTATTTTAATTAAATATCTATATGTCATATTTTTAACTTTTATGGACGTTCTCCGAAATTTAAAACTTAAAATTTAATTTAGAACCACGAGTGGTTGTTGATAAATTTGTTGCAGCTTTCTTCCTCACTTTTTAGTACATTGTTCCAGTAAGGGCAGATCTTCTGATTTTAATTAGCTCTCTAGATAATTATCTTGGTTATTTAAAAGTTACTACAATAATTTTTCTTCGAGTTCAGCCTTTGCCAAATAACTCAAATCAATGTTTACCATTGGTTCACGTTTAGAACTTTAAACAAAAATATACTTGTATTCTGATTCTGCCCATGTCTCTTTAATACTGATGACCAAATATCACTGACTGTATCTTTAAGAACATACGCTGATGAAAGCTGCAATTTTTTAAACGAGCTTTATGACTACGCTTTGTTTCTAGGTCGGGATTCACAGTAGTGTCTCGAGACTGTGCTCAACTGGTAGCTTGACGATATTAGTAGCCCTAATCACTACCAATAATTGTTTTCAAAAAACGTTTACAGAAAAATCTATATTGACTGCACTGGTTATGAATCGTAACTAGCTGAATATGCAACGGTAAATATTTGGCACTATAATATGAATAAGCTTTCCCCTTAGAAGCATTTCCGTGCATAGAGATCAATCCACGTCACACTTGCATGTTTATCATTGTGACTTTCTCTCAATGGCACGTACATTAAAGCTTGACAAGGTTATCCAGGGGATGAGCGTTCGTTAACGCCTTGTTCCATATATCCTTTCTTAGCAGGTGCATCTTCCCGGGGTTGGGGGTGGGGGGGGGGTAGAAACATTTGCATCCAAGCTGAGTTGGTGGGGAGCATAAATTCCCTCCTCTTCCATCTTCTGCCAAATTTCCCTTGGCAAAAAAAAAAAAATATTTAAAAAAAAAAAAAAAAAAAAAATCTTTTTTTTTTTTTAAAAAAAAAAAAAAAAAAAAAAAAAAAAAAAAAAAAAAAAAAAAATTGGGTACTAGTCAACCATAAAAAGATGTGGTAGATCCTTGCTGTCAGAATTTCAAGTTTAACAAGCTTTACTTCCGAACAAAAGTTAAAACACTTCTTGATTTATAAACTTAAAGATATGATCTGTTCTTACCTCTTTACATTGGAAGTCATATTGAACTACACTCTACATTGCATTGCGATTGTATTCCTTGTGTATATATTCCGGTGTTTTATTAATTATACATTCAAAAGAAAGCAATAATTTTCTCATGTCCTAATTTTTAATGATTTAGATTTATATTGATATTATATGTTGATAAAATAATTTTGGGGTATAAAGTCTAAAGTCGATTATTGTTTAAACTCAGGGTTTTAGTAGTAAACGTTGTGATCCAACCTTTGATTTTAAGATCAATGAGTTTAAACCATGCCGAAATTCGTTTTCGATCCATTTTGTGGTTATATTTTTACAGTTAGACAAAGTAAATACATAGTGACAATGACTTTTATATAACGTTTTTTTTGTTTGTTGTTGTTGTATTTTTAAACCGAAGGATCTCATTTAAATATATATATATATTTCTTTACATAAATAAATATATATATATATATATATATGTATCGCCGTCGTTTCGTGGAGAGTGGGAATCTGCGGCATTGGCCAACAGCTGGTCTCCATATATCACCGTCCAGGCCAAGTAGCTGCTGGTGACGTCACTTGATGGGAAGCAGAGTTTTTTTATTTATAATTTATATATTATGTTTATAAGGCAAAGAAGTAAAGAGAAGGAACACTCAACAACTTCGCTTCGCAACATAGAATATATGAACCATGTTTCCTGGATTCGACACCGACCTTAACCTTAAACAGAGTTACAACGTCAGAAATACTACTGTAATTGACAATGAACTCGCCAGACTAAACATTGAAATTGCCTACCTCCAATAGATCCAACTAGCGGATAGTGGTACTATAAAGGAAGGCAGCTACACATTCTACTGGCAGGTGAAACCCGTAGATGAACCTAGGCGGCATGGTGTTGATTAGCAGTAAAAAAAAAAATATCTGCCTGTCTTGAACCTCCTCCATTGAGATCAGAGAGGATTATGCGACCGCGGATGTCATCATCAGCAGGCAAGGCGAACAAATGTAATGTTTATGCTCAAACTCTTAATTCGACACCAGGAGAGAAACATCTATTCTATGAGGCCCTGGACAAGAATTTTCATATTTTCTGAAAACCAAAGCATTATACATTTTGGGAGAATTAAATGCTAGAGTAGGAGCGAATAAGGAAGCATGGCTTTTGTGTCTTGGTTATCACAGCTGAGGAAGGATTAACAATGATGGTCAACGTCTGCTGTAGTTGTGCTGTTCGCATGGTCTCTGTGTTACCAACACCTTCTTCAAATGTATACAAATCAAAAAAGTGTCATGGTGACACCCACGTTACGCTAGTGGCACCAGCTAGACGCCGTCATCACTAGTGAGGCATGCAAATTAAGGAAAGGGGGTGATGTGGAGGGAGACGCACGAGGAGCTAGCCGGTGTACTTGGCACCCGCAGCTACAATATATGATATTCTCGTTACGCCAAATACAGGAGAAGTGTCGCAAACAGCGTATGTCTCTTTATATCGTTTTCATAGATATGACAAAGGCATTCGACTTTGTAAGTTCGGACAGGTATGTTCAGTACCTTGGAAAGAATAGACTGCCCCCCCCAACCCACAACGACTGCTCCCAATTTTACAGTCATTTCTCAAAAACATGCAGATCACAGTAACATTCAACGGCGCTGTCTCTGAGGCGTTCCCAGTAAGCAGCGGAGTAAGACAGGGTTGTGTACTGGAACCGACGCTCTTCGCCATTTTCTTCTCGATGTTCCTTCAAAATGCTTACAGGACTGTGAAGATGGAGTGTACATCCATACCATATCTGATGGTAAGCTATTCAATATCCCACGCCTTCGTGCAAAGACCAAGGTACAAAAAAATACTTATCCGTGACCTGCTTTTCGCTGACAATTCCTCCATAACATCTCACACAGCCAAAGGTCTTCAGCGGCTAGTTAATAGTCTAACATATACTAATAAAGAGTTTGAACTATCAATTAGTCTACAGAAAAAAAGAGTCACCGTTTCCCTCTAATCATATTTATTAAGGGCAATTATCTGTCGGGCGTTGAGTAACTCATACACCTTGGATCCAGTATTTTTAGTTATCTCTCCGTTGATGAAGAGATAAACATCAGGATCACAAAAAAAGCACAAACTATGGTTCAAATGAATACGTCGGAGTGGAATACTCTCAATCTTACTGATAAAACAAAGCTAAGTGCCTACCACGCATGTATGCTGAGATCGCTCCTATATTCCAGTGAAGTATATACTACATATACCAGTCATGTGTGGAAACTGAACAGCTACTATCAAAGATGTCTGCCACGCATTTAACGCTTTCGATGGCAGAGCAAGGTGCCTAACGCATAAGTCTTGAACATGCAAAAATATTTAGCATTCTCTCCGCTCTTAGCAAGAGGCGTCTTCGCTGGTTAGCGATGTAAGGAGAATTGGAGGAAGGCTGTATCCCAAAAATGCTGCTGTATGGAGAGTTGTCAGAAAGTAAAAAACTTATTGGGCGGCGACGACTGAGATTGATGGACGTTTGTAAAAGGAGCATAAGGGATCCCCATATTAATATCAACAAATTCGAGATGATTGCCGAACAAAGTCCCAGCTGGCAAACAGCAGTGTTAAAAGGAATCAATGAGTCAGAAGATGTGTGAAATGAAGACCTTGCAACAAAAAGAACAATACGGATGGCCAAATCTTTTAAGGAATCAATATTCCCTTTCGAGAAGTGCAGTCAAGTTTGTCATTCCAAGATTGGCGTAGTGAGGCACTCGTAGGCTTAAACAGCTACTCCATCATCTCGCGAAGACGAAAGGATGCCATATATATACATTTATATTTACAATTTTGAAAATAAAAAACATTTGAATATTTAAATGATTTTCACTGAAATATGCTATCTGCACAAAATTATATTTTAATATTTAAGGATCACAGATTATAACTTGGAAACTTGTTGTGATACCATTAAAGTTTATGGTGGAACTGGACAGAGTTCGCCCCTTATTGGAGCGATCTCTTTAAGCAACAACTCTTTTGTCGCAAGTTCATCATACATGCATATCGTCTTTAAAACGGATGGTTCTGTCATACGCACTGGTTTTAATGGGACTTTTCAAACACACGGTAAGCGTTGAAAGACCTTATTATAATTTTCTATTTTTTAAAATAACGCTTACTCTATAAGTAATAATTACTAGTAGCATTTTTATGCATGTCATTAAGCAAAGAAGACGATTAAAAAAAAGTTTGACTTAAGTGGCAGAGAATGATTGACCAATAGATGGAACAGGTATAAGATCAAACGTGTTTTATTTGAAATAGATAAGATTATGTGGAAAGCATATGATAATTTTTTATTGTTTACAGCCTGTACAACAACAACGCAAAGTACTTATGGGAACATTGTGAGTCCTGGGTACCCAGCTTGGTCGATGAGATATGGTTCTTGCAGCTGGTCGATTGTAGGGACATCTTCGGATAATTTCATCGCAATCAGGTACCTAAAAGAAAAACATATATGTATCCTTGTGACACAAACTATTATTTGTGAAACTGCATTTATTTACTGTTTTAATTCTTTATTAAAGTAAACAAAGATCAAGTGTAGGTATTCCAAATAGGGGTGCTTGCTTCCCCGGGGTTCTTATACGTTTTCTAATTATCAGTACATTGATCGTGAGTCCTTAATTATTCTGGTTCCTATACATGTAAAGGGGATTTGCAATGCTACTGCGTTTTGCATTTAAGAGGATATTTCACTGGTTGCAAGGGCTACTTAGTGAGGGTTTCATGAAATTTGAGTTGGAAGGCATGAGGCAGTAGACGCAGCTTTTTCAAGTGTTGTCGCCTCATTTGTTCCTTTTGGAAGCCTGTTTTAGTCCCTGATTGTCTTTGGCAGGAATGTACGGTGTACCAGAACTGCCTGTCAAGGCTTCGTCACTGTCTAGGGGGCAAGGGGGGGAGGGATGAGTTTCTGTTTAATGATGGAGAAATGGACCAGCTTCTTTTTTATCTTGTACATCTCGGAGAGCCTTGATAATCGTCGTCGTTCCTCCAATCATGAGCAGCCCAGTGTTTCCAGCATGCTGCAAACACTATATTTGTTCCTTTAGCAGTTCCGGACAATCGCGCTGGCCGTAGCTGGACCGCCTACAACCTATCGACGCTCTTCTGGATGAATCGGTCTTAGACTAAAGATCCATAATCTCTAAGCGGCCGTACAATGTTTTTATATGTTCTGTCATTCCCACTGAAGTTGCTGATCTTTAGATTTCTTCTTAACCTTGGGAAATCATTCACCAGCACGTCAATCTGCTTGCTGTTCTCCATTTTGGTCATCACATCTTCTACAAATTCAAGGAGCTGCATGTGTTCAATGAGCCGAATATTCCCGAGAGGGCCGTTGTTAGTTTACAACGGCACAAGAATATAGCTGGAGGATTAAGCGCACGAAGAAGACCTAAAAAAACGCCTTGTGAAAAAATCCCGAAAAAACTGTAACAAAGACTGAGCATGTGAGGAATTGAAAAGAATAAAGAAAGACATTCAGAGACCGGAGGGCTTGAAAGCCTATTGTAAATTTCATATTCTCCCTTGGGAGTTGAAACGACAAAGACGAAAAAGAAAATATAAAATTCAAATTTAAGTTTTTTTTAAGGTGGAGTGAGATTTATTTAAACCATTCGAATGAGTGAGCAGAATCTATCTAAGAAAAACGCCTTCAATACTCTCTATCCATTGTATTCACACAGAAAAGAAACAAAATATATGCAATTGAAAAAAATGGCAACTGCAAGAGGAGGTGACAGCTTCATCGGGGATCTTGCAAATATTAAAGATGTGCATTTTTTTAAGATTAACAATTGAATTTTTAAAAAATACAGTCAAATCTGATGTAGGCGTGAAAAACAATGGCGAGATTCTTCTTAGATAAAAGAGTTCTTTGTTTTACGATTTTCTATTGATGTATAATTTCAAAAAAGGCAAAATGTGTTTAAATTTGTTATTAAGATATAAATATATATTGAATTCCTGTAATACAAAATATATTTATATTATATATAGAGTTTTTGTTGTGAATTTAAGATTATTATTTTTTTAAATTTTGAGTAAAAAAATTGTAATTGATGCGCACGAAAAGGGGTAAATCTTAAGTATTTCTCTAGCGTAGTAATGGTCCCTCATTTATATTCTTAAGTGACAAGAGTGATATAATTAGTTATAATTTAGGCTAGTTATTTTAAGGTAATGTTTAGAAGGGGGAAATTAGTTTAGGTGCGTGAAATGGTGTAGGTTATGCCTATCATATATAGCAGATATACACTTCTCAAAACTTAATGATGTTAGAAACGTAAATATTGTAAGGAAACCTTGCTTACTCTCTGCTAACCTTCATCTATATCTGGCATTCACTAAGGAAACAACTCAGGCGATAACATCTGATGATTATAATCTTGTTCTTTATTAGGCTGACACTTCGCTTATACTTTCTCTCATCTCGCAACTCTGACTCCCTCTTCTTACACCGTCCGAGTTCTCCCTGCTATCTGCTTCTCGGTCCGGCCGCGTTCTCTCGTCCCGTCCTGAGGTCCCTATTTATAGGTCCCTGGGTCTGTACTTGCGCTGCCCCTTTTCTCAGTCGGGTAACGTCGTCCCAGGGAAATGCCCTGGTCAGATTGCCGGTACCGCCACAGGCGTTTTATCCTTCGATCGTGATCCCTGGTCAGACGGCCGGTAACCCTGGTCAGACGCCCCCCGGCACCGTCGTGATCCGAACTCTCCACAATCCCCGGCGCCGTCGCGGTCCGATACGCCCCCGGCGCCGTCGTGGTCCCGTCGTGGTCCGAACTCTCCACAATATCATTATATTTTACAAGTTATGAATTGGGATGTGATTTTTGCAATAGCAGTTATAAATTATCGCGAAATACCTAGCATTATTATCTCGATAACATCGGGTCATTTATTCTAGTGTTATTATGTTAATATCGGTTTGGACGGGTTGAAGGGATTTTTTCTGTCACAAAAAATGATATAAATGTTACTAATATCTAATAAACTAAAATCAATTGCAATGTGACTTCACAGGACGAAATGACAAGGCTTATGGGTTGTTGATTTTTTGTAAGGACTATAAGTTGGTTCCCTAGACAATAAATAGCCTCTCTCCACGCACCCGGTAAGCCATATACGGATGTTGCAGCTTGGCACCAGTTACGTCACATGAGTTGTCGGAATTTTTGTTGTATTAACGTGTCCGCGAACGGGACTCTTCCGAGTTTTGATTCAGAGTTTCCTTCTCTTAGATGAGATGCCATCATAGGTTAATGTATCTCATCCAAACAGGGAGCTGGTGAAGTTTTAATGTGCTTGACTTTATCTTTGGTGGGGATTGAGTTACATATAAAAAGCTTAAGACTTGGGATGGAAAATGATTTTACACCATTGTGACCATTCGAATACTCAGTCACCACAATTAAAAATATATGTTTCAATAAAATTTATTCTGCTAAATAAAGGCTATTTATTAGACAACATGCATTGAAATTCATATCTTTTTTACAATTATTAATTCAGGACTTCCTTTCAATGTATTTCAGTTTTCATGGATTTGATTTGGGAGCTTGTTCAACGAGCAATGTAACAGTTGTTGGGTCCTTGAATAATGTTGTATATGGCAGTGTTTGTTACACCAACTACAACACATTAAATGTGAATGCCACCACAAACAGAGTAACTATTCGATATTCAGCAAACAAGGTCTCTACATCGAACAAGGGATTTAATGCCACTTACCTCATATACTGTAAGATAATTTATTATAGTGTTTTAATTTAGTGTATACTTATCTTCACTTAATACTACATAATTGTCACCAGTCAATAGTTTTAAACCTTATTTAACCGTGCTAAAGTTTTTTTAATTGAGATTATTTAACCTACACAAATTGTTAAATACATTTTATTCTTACAGCGATCACAAACAATGGTAAATGAATTTGTTAACTTTACAGCTCTGAGCAAAGGATTGAGCTGCAAAATAACAGATCAATGCAAAGCTAGCCTCACTTGCCTCAATGGAGTTTGTGATTGCATATCACCCGAGATCTTCGATACATTCACTGGAAGGTGCACGCCAAGCAAGTTTCTTTCCACAATCATTACATCCTCAGTATTTTAGTTTTTAATCTTAAATAGCTCTGTTTATTCCACCGATTATTTTTTGGTAGCGGAACTATAAATAGTGACTATGACACACACACACGCATACAAATATACACAAACACAATCATATATGTGTGCTTGTTTGATGTTTGTACTTGGCTAATATGCCTATACAGGAATTAGAATAATTGCATTTAAAAATATTAAAGTTGAATAACTAAATTTAACTATTTGATTTATTAGCCTTATCTAGAATATGTTTTTCGATTTGATTTCTGCTCTTTTAAATCCTCTATACTCCTTTGCCTAAAATTATCTATGTATGTTTTTCTGCATTGAGGATTGAATAGATTTATTGAAAATGTGAAAAACGAAAGAGTGTGGAACTTCACTTTTAATACATTAATACAAAATAAAAGTAAGTAAACAGTCCTTCGTTTTTTTTAACCCAGGAAAATCGTACGGAAGCCTCTGTGACGGCGCAACATGTGAAACTTACCTGATATGTTGGAATGATACCTGTAACTGTTCCAGTAACAATTACTACCATGACTCTACAACTAAATCATGCAGCGCAAGTAAGTTTGTCTTAGAATGAAAGAGAATCTCAACAGAAAGGGGTTGACAAGTGTTAAACTAAGAAAGTGCACGTGGAACAACACCAGACAAACCGATCAACTAAAATGATTTGATTTAGAAAGCCGTTATTTTCTAAAAATCTTTTTTAGTGATTTTAAAACTATTTCAGGACTTTCCTACAACAGTACCTGCAGCAATTACAGCAGCGAAAACCAATGTCAAAGTAACATGGTGTGTGTCAACAGCCGTTGTACATGTCAGAGCTCAGAATACTACGACGCTGTTTCAAATTTATGTCGAAATAGTAAGTGGCATGTTTATCAGTGAAAAAGTGAGTAGCAAGGTTAACAAGGGAAAAAGTAGTAGCACCTGTATTGGTGATGGATTTTAGAAAACTAATTATATATTACTTTAGGAACGTGGAAATAACACACACAAATATTTCTTATTTTCCAATCAACAAATTCATAGCAAGAAGAAACTTTAAATTTTTTGTTTGTTTTTTTTTTTTTCTTTGATAGGTAAGGGCTATAATAATATAATGAAAATTATAATGTATCATTTTTTAACCAGGAAAATCATATGGCTACCTTTGTACCAGCGGAACATGTGAAACTTACCTGACATGTTTGAGTAGTATCTGTAACTGTTCCAGTTACAACTATTACCATGACTCTACAACTAAATCATGCAGATCAAGTAAGTTTGTCTTAGAGTAAAAAAAAAGATTCTTAATAGAAAGACATTGATTAGATTATAAATCTGCACATTGAACAATGGCAGACTAAACTGACGTGCCCAAAATCTTTCGTTTCAAAGCCGTCCTTGTCTAACACTATTTCAGTGACTTTAACACCATTTCAGAACTGTCCTACAACAGCATCTGCAGCATTTACATCAGCGAAAACCAATGTCAAAGTAACATGGTGTGTGTAAACAGCCGTTGTGCATGTCAGATCTCACAATACTACAACGCTGTTTCAAATTTATGTCGAGACAGTAAGTAGCATGTGTATCAGTGAAACAGCCAGTGGCAGATGTAACACTGAAAAAGCGAGTAGTTTTATAACTGTAAAAAAGCTAGTAACGGGTTTAGCAGTGAAAAACTAAGTACTACGTGTATTGGTGATTGATTTTAGTAAGGTAACTATATATTACTTTAGGAACGTTGAAACTAGAACAAAAAACATTTTTTCATTTTCCGATCAACAAATTCATAGCAGGTAGCAATCTTTTTCCTTTGCAAAGTAAGGGCTAAAAATATAATAAAAATTACAATGTATTATTTCAAGAAATCTTACCACATTTAGACGCAACTGTTCAGTTACTAAATAAAATTAAAAATGTGATTGTGACGTGCTTCTATCTATTTGAGGTTTTATTTTAATTTGCATTGCAGAAATAAAATTTAAAAAATCTAAAAAAGTTATTTTACTTCTAATATTCCGCAAAACCAATTTAACAACACTTATTTTTATAATTGAAATAATCGCAAAATGTAATTATTAGGAATAGCATTTGATTAAACAAAAAATACATGAATAGAGCGATGCCTCTCGAAGGTCTAATTTTTGCCAAAGTACTTCACAACGGCCAGCACAAATTTTTCATATGCATTAGTTTCCTGGTAAGCAATGACATTAAAAAATATTATTTTTCTTTAAAAATGTCATCTTTTGAATACAAAAAAAGCTCACGTTATAGCAAATAGTCTTTATAAAAACTAATTTCAAGTAATCTTTTATGTAATACCGCCCTTATCTGTATGAGATTGGTAGGACAGTTTTGTAATTTAATGGTGAGAGAAGAAATATTATCTATATATTATATTTTCTAGGAAAGTCCTACGGCAGCTTTTGTACAAGTAGCGAACCATGTGAAACTTACCTGACATGTGTAAGTGGCATCTGTAATTGTTCCAGCCCTTCTTATTACCATGACTCTACAACAAAAACTTGCAAAGCAAGTGAGTTTTATTAAAATACATTTATATACGACTAAGAAAATAAATACTGTTTTTGATAATTTAATTTTTTTAAAAATATATATAAATTTATAACTTATTAGATTTGTATAAATGACAGTGAACAGATTTAATACTGTAAGGTCCTAAAGATTTTAAATTAATTTTAAACTATTTCAGAACTCTCGTACTACAGCATTTGCAATATTTATAGCAGCGAGAACCAATGTCAGAGTAACCTTGCATGTGTCAACAGTCGCTGTACCTGCAGCAGCTCACAATATTATGACTCGGGATCAAATTCATGTCGCAGCAGTAAGATGGAGCGTTATGAATGATGATTTTTACTTGACTTCCACTTAATGTATACACATAATGAAACATTTAAGAAGCTTTTGCTAAAAGGACTCTTAATTAATGGGTTCATTAAAATGGAATTGTATGCAATTTATTTGGACAACAAATAAAATGTGACCCTCTTAAACAAATTGATCTCAATATTGTGTATGATCAAGTTCAGCATAGATAAAAATGTAGCATATATTATTAATTCAACAATTCTGAAAACGTATATACAGGATTTTCCCTATAATGTGCACACAAATAAACAAGAAGGTTTTTCGACGAGTGAGTAGGCCACATATCTCTTTCTATGTATTAAGCATCGATTTTTTAAATTTCTCCCACACACTTTAGTGATTGGTCCATCCACCGAATAGATATGTTTGAAACTATAATTATATAGATCATATAGTAAATAAAAACGAATTTAGGGCCTCCGGCCCCAAATGGAATATAGTCATAAGATTGTAATACTTTAGAAACCTACTTATTTTTTCACATCAAAACTGAAATGGTGCTCTTTATATTTGATTATATTCCAGCCAAAAATGGATTAGCATTGTTTGAAATTATATTTATATAGTTAATATAAGAAAAAGCAACGTTAGGCCCCAGGCCCAAAACGAAACATTTTAAAATGTTGCACTAATTTAGAAACCATTTCGGCCGGTCGCAATTCATTTCACCAAAAATTTATTGCAAGATTTAATGGTATAGGAAAGCATACGGAGATTATATTAGCAAATGTGATCTGACGTGATGTGCTTCTATCTCTTTGAGGTTATATTCTAATTTTGAATAGCTGAAAAAACATTATTAAAAGTTCTGTTTACTTTTAATATTCAGGCAATCCAATTCAACAGCAGTTATTTTTATAATTAAAATAATCGCCACTCGACAGAAATGTTTAAAGGATGTTATTATTAGGAACATCATTTGATTAAACAAAAAATATACGAATAGAGCGATGCCTCTCGTGTGTCTATTTTTTGCCTAAGTACTTTACAATGGTCAGCTCTAATTTTTCAAATGCATTAATTTCCTTTTAAGCAATGACATTAAAAAATATTATTTTTTTTTAACATTTCTTGTTTTGAATACAAGAAAGCTCACGTTGAAGCTAAAAGTCTTTATAAAAAACAAATTTCAAATAATCTTTTATTTAATAATGCCCTTATCTGTATGAGATTGATAGGACAATTTTGCAATTTAATTGTGAGAGAAGAAATAATCTCTATATATTATAATTTCTAGGAAAGTCCTACGGCAGCTTTTGTACAAGTATCGAACTATGTGAAGCTTACTTGACATGTTTAAGCGGCATCTGTAACTGTCCCAGTGCTTCTTATTACCATGACTCTACAACAAAGACTTGCAAAGCAAGTGAGTTTTAGTACAATACATTTATTAATATAACTTAGAAAATAAATATTTTTTTAGATAACTTTTTAAAAAATATTTTAATATTACTCAACTTATAACTTATAAGATTTGTATAAATGACAGTGTAAAGATTTAATACTGTAATTTTCTAAAGAGTGTTCATTAATTACAACAATATTTCAGAACTCTCGTACAACAGCGTCTGCAATATTTAGAGTAGTGAGAACCAATGTCAGAGTAATCTTGCATGTGTCAACAGCCGCTGTACCTGCAGCAGCTCACAATAGTATGACTCGGGATCAAATTTATGTCGCACAATTAAGATGAAGCGTTATCAATGATGATTTTTACTTGACTTTCACTTAATGTATACGCTTAATACAATTTTTAAAAAAGCTTCTTCTAAAAAGGATACTTAATTTAATTCGTTCGTTAAATTGGCATTGCATGCAATTTATTTGGAATACATATAAAATATGACCCTCTTAAACAATTGAACACATTGGTATGCATTATAAAGTTCAGCAAAAATAAAGATGTAGCATATATAATTAATTCAACAATTCGGAAAAAGTACATACCGCCTTTTCCTGTATGATGTGTACACGAAAAAATTAGAAGGTTTTTCGACGAGTGAGCAGGCCACATATCTCTGTCTATGTATTAAGCATGGATTTTCAAAAAAAAATTCCACACACTTTAGTGATTGGTCCATCCATTCAATAGCAATGTTTGAAACTATAATTAGATAGATCATATAGTAAATAAAATAAATTTAAGCCCCCCCCCCCCAACTCCGAACGGAGTATTGTAATATGATTGTAATAATATAGAAAACTACTTAATATTTCACATCTAAATTGATATGGTACTCTTTGTATTTGATTACATTCCATCCAACAATGCATTAGCACTGTTTGAAATTATATTTATATAGTTAATATAAGAAAAAAAATGAGGTTAGGGCCCAAGGCCCCAAACGCGAATATTTTAAAATGTTGTACTAATTTAGAAACCATTTCGGCCGGGCGCACATGAATTCACCAAAGTTTTATTGCAAGATTTAATGGTGTAGGAAAGCATACGGAGATTATATTAGAATAGGTCATCTGACGTGACGTGCTTCTATCTCTTTTAGGTTGTATTCTTATTTGTATAGCAGAAATCAAAAAAAAGGAAAAACATTCTTAAAATTTATTTGTTACGCACTGAATTCTCTTGTGAGAAATTAATCTTCTATTTTTATTTTTTATCTCGTTCAAACAGTGCCTAACAATAAACGATACCATAGAAAAATAAAATAACAAAAGTACGACACTAAAATCAGAACCAATTACAATTATTAAAATTTAATTCATTAACAATACTATTACAAATAAAAGAAATGTCATTAGAAATCATCAACTTACAGTATGGCAGATCTTGTACCGGTTCACAGTTAACACAGTTAATACAATATACCAATGAATAATGATGAATGATTAATGCGAATAAACACATATAAGTACAAAAAGAATAATACACTTCTCGTGAAGTTAAAAATATCTATCAATCTCCATCCCTCTCTGAGTCTGTCAATCTTTTATATATATATGTGTCTAACGACGCGTCTAGAATTGCCCTTACTTTTCTAATACAATCGAGAACCTTCGACAGGATACTAGTAAACATACTAAATATGTTTAATTGGAGGTCGGTAATAAACAAGATACTTCAAAGAGATTTAACCACGCCCACAACAATCGTTACTGTGTGCTAGGAGTGTAATACGGGGTCGAAGAAAGTTCATGCACAGGGAACAAGCGTACTACATAACATCTGTTTAATTGTTATATTCCGGAAAACCAATTCGACAACTCTTATTTTTATATTTTAAATAATCGCCTCTCAATAGAAATGTGTATAGCATGTAATTATTAGGAATAGCATTTGATTAACCAAAAATACATGAATATAGCGATGCCTCTCGTAGGTCTAATTTTTGCCTAAGTATTTCAAAACGGTTAGCTCAAATTTTTCATATGCATTAGTTTCCAGGTAAGCAATGACATTAAAAAAAAATAAAAATATTATTTTCTGTACAATTTCATCCTTTGATTGGAAAAAAGCTGAAGTTATATGAAATAGTCTTTATAAAAACTAATTTCAATAATAATCTTTTAAGTAATAACGCCTTTATCTGTATGAGATTGGTAGGACAGTTTTGCAATTTAATTGTGAGAGAAGAAATATTATATATATATTATAATTTCAAGGAAAGTCCTACGGCAGCTTTTGTACAAGTAGCGAACCATGTGAAACTTACCTGACATGTGTAAGCGGAATCTGTAATTGTTCCAGTGCTTCTTATTACCATGACTCTACAACAAAAACTTGCAAAGCAAGTGAGTTTTAGTACAATACATTTATATACGACTAAGAAAATAAATACTGTTTTTGATAATTTAAATTTTCTTTTTTTTTTATTATTAATCAATATATAGCTTATTCGATTTGTATAAATGACAGTATAAAGATTTAATACTGTAATGTCCTAAAGATTTTTAATTAATTTTAAACTATTTCAGAACTCTCGTACAACAGCGTCTGCAATATTTATAGCAGCGAGAACCAATGTCAGAGTAACCTTGCATGTGTCAACAGCCGCTGTACCTGCAGCAGCTCACAATATTATGACTCGGGATCAAATTCATGTCGCAGTAGTAAGATGGAGCGTTATAAATGATGATTTTTACTTAACTTCCACTTAATGTATACACATAATGAAACATTTAAAAAGATTTTGCTAAAAGGACTCTTAATTAATGGGTTCGTTTAAATGGAAGTTATGCAATTTATTTGGACTACATATAAAATATGACCCTCTCAAACAAACTGACCTCAATATTGTGTATGATCAAGTTCAGCATAAATAAAGATGTAGCATATATTATTAATTCAACAATTCGGAAAAAGTACATACAGCCTTTTCCGGTATGTTGTGTACACGATTAAATAAGAAGGTTTTTCAACGAGTGAGCAGGCCACATATCTCTTTCTATGTATTAAGCATGGATTTTTAAAATTTCTCCCACACACTTTAGTGCTTGGTACCTCCATGCAATAGCTATGTTTGAAACTATAATTATATAGATCATATAGTAAATAAAACAAATTTAGGGCCTCCGGCCCCAAACGGAATATAGTCATATGATTGTAATACTTTAGAAACCTATTTATTATTTCACATCAAAACTGAAATGGTGCTCTTTATATTTGATTATATTCCAACCAACAATGGATTAGCATTGTTTAAAATTATATTTATATAGTTAATATAAGAAAAAACGAAGTTAGGCCCCAGGCCCAAAACGAAACATTTAAAATGTTGCACTAATTTAGAAACCATTTCGGGCGGGCGCACATCATTTCAACAAAGTTTTATTGCAAGATTTAATTGTATAACAAAGCATACGGAGATTATATTAGCATAGGTTATCTGACGTGACGTGCTTCTATCTCTTTGAGGTCTTATTCTAATTTTGAATAGTTGAAAAAAACCAAAACATTCTTTAAAGTTCTGTTTACTTCTAATATTCGCCAAACCAATTCAACAACGCTTATTTGTATAATTGAAATAATCGCTACTCGACAGAAATGTTTAAAGAATGTAATTATTAGGAATAGCATTTGATTAAACACAAAATACATGAATAGGGCGATGCCTCTCGCGGGTCTAATTTTCTCATGAGTACTTCACATCGGTCAGCTCAAATTTATCTAAGAAGAATCTTGCAATCATTTTTCCAGCCGACATCAGATTTGTCTGTCATTTAAACAAATGTAATTGTTTATTTTAAAAAAAATACACACCTCTATACTTCTTGAAATGTAATAAAAAATATATATATATTTTCATTAAAAAAAAATATTAAGCCATCTTCATTTGTCAAAATTTCATTTTCAATTATGTACAATGATTGGGATTTGATATTCATCGATATACTTATTTAAATGTACCCAAGAATTGTTAACGCCATAGATTATCTTATTTTGTAAACATATGTTTATTTGTAAAAAGAAAATGTAACATCTCTTTTTTCACAAACGTACTAACATAGAATTTAAATACATTGTCATCCAGATAAAAATATAAATATTCTTTTTCCTTTCTAGGATATGTATGTACCCAAGAAGGTTTATTATTTATCAAATTAATTCCATTTTTTGGACGTATCTTGTTCTTTCCTTCTGCAAAATGAACATACCAATATTTATAAAAAGTGATTGTAACATCTTATTTTTTCACAAATGTAATACCCTAGGAGTTAACTCTGTTGTCATCCATGTAAGAATTTACACATCTTATTTCCTACCTCCGAAATGTTTTTACCCAAGAAAATTATGTATTTATCAAATTCATCCCTTTATATCTTGCGCTGCATGGAGCAAATTGAACATTTACATATTTGTAAAAAGAGAATGTAAGATTTCTTTTTTTACAAATGTAATACCATATGATTTAAATAACTTGTCATCCACGTAAAAATGTACACATCCTATTTGCTACCTCCGATATAAATGTACCCAAGAAGGTTAAATATTTATCAAAATTAATTCCTTTATTTTGAGACGTATCTTGTGCTGCCTGGGGCAAAGTGAAAAAGCACTCCCCCACCCATATTTAAATGCATTTAGATTATCTTCCACCGGATTGTAATCCCTGCCATACCCAAACTAACATATTTTGCACTTCATATCGTCCGTTCTTGTTTGTCTGAGGCATGGGTGCCCGCAGGTAGGGGCAAGGGGGGCACTTGCCCCCCCCCCTGGATTGATTGGATAAAAAAAAAATTAGACAAAAATAGACAAAAAAAGTATTAAAGGAAAGAGAAAAAAAAAGAGAAAGTAACTAAGCTGATGTCCTATCCGTTCGCTCACCATACAAATACGCTACAGTAAATTAAAACTATATTAAAACATTACTAAAAAATTTTTGCCCCCCCCCCTGGAAAGTTAATTGATTTTTTTGCCCCCCCCCTAGAAAGTTTTCTGCGGGCGCCCATGAGGAGTATGAGGTATTATGGACTAGTGAAAACTATTTACTATGGAGTTTTGCTGCACTGATTGAATTAATATGCATTTTCTTATTAGAATTGTGCTTTAAGCTTAGTTTTTATTAGGTTATAAATATAAAAAAAGTATATTTTTGGAATCAGAAAAGCAAAACATTTTAAATGTAAAAATATACAAATAAAAAATGTGTGTGTTTTATTAACAATTTAAAAAGAAATAAATTGAATTTTTTAAGTTTACCTTTAAGTAGGGAAAATACATTATCAGTTTTGTTACGCGTGGTTATTAATTTTAAAGAAAACTAAGAGTTTTTGCGAAGTATGCCATTCGCGCCATCACGTCATTTGCGTTGTTATTTAGAACAAATTAATTATAATTATATTTCGCAATATTAAAAACGCACTAAAAAAATTACTAAAAACAACTGATGCAAGGATTTCCCCGACAAATGTGATGACGGTGTGATTCTTTGATTATGATTTTTTAAATATTTTTTTTATTTTTTCATAACTTTCAAACACATATAAAATGCTTAAAATAGTTCCTTAATTGATACTTTAAATGTATTTGTAATTTATAATAATATTACTTTAACTTTTAATAAAAATAAAAGCGGATTTAGAATATTTGTGTGTATTACAATTTTTTTCCATTTCAGTCATAGAAAATAGCTGTGTTTTTTTTTAGGAATCCAAACGTACTTAAATCGTATATGCTCTTTGGCGTTATGTCACGGAAGCTCGTTATTAGATATATTATTTTTTTCTAGGAAAGTCCTACGGCAGCTTTTGTACAAGTAGCGAACCATGTGAAACTTACCTGACATGTGTAAGCGGCATTTGTAATTGTTCCAGTGCTTCTTATTACCATGACTCTACAACAAAGACTTGCAAAGCAAGTGAGTTTTAGTACAATCATTTATAAATATAAGTAAGAAAATGAATACTTTTTTAGATAACTTTAACAAAAAAAAAACAATATGTCAATATTACTCAACTTATAACTTATTAGATTTTTATAAATAACAGTTTCAAGATTTATTAATGTAATATCCTAAAGATTGTTAATTCATTTGAAATTATTTCAGAACTCTCGTACAACAGCGTCTGCAATGTTTATAGCAGCGAGAACCAATGTCAGAGTAACTTTGAATGTGTCAACAGCCGCTGTACCTGCAGCAGCTCACAATATTATGACTCTGGATTCAATTTGTGTCGCAGCAGTAAGATGGAGAGTTATTGAAAATGATTTTTACAAGACTTCTATTTAATTTATTCTTTGAATATAGATGAAATAAAGTTCAAAAGCTGAACGCTTAATCTTATCAATTTCGTTATATAGAAATTTTACGCAATTTATTTGGACTAAATTTTGAAATTACATTGTTAAGCAAATTTATTTCATTGTTCTTAACGATAAAGATCAGCATAAATAATGATTTATTATTTATTATAAATTCAAGAATTAAGAATAATAAACTCTTTACAAATGAATATAATTTTAGTCTTACGGCGTTATCCTGGAACATGTACAGATTCATTTTCAAAGAGTTTATTTTTACTAGATGCATCTCTAAATGGAATAAGAGTATTATCTGATTATTGTTGCTATTCCATTATTTTAGCTAGATAGACAGATATATGCTTTCAGTATTAACAATAATATATATAAATATATATATATATATATTTCAAATTGTACGACAAGAAATATCAAACGTCTACTTATAATTTATTTATAATTAATCTTTTAAATCTATTAAATGTACATGTAATGCAAACAAAGATATCTTCTTACACAATTAGTTTTGATCAATAGACTACGGATCTGTCAGATTATTCAAGCATTCAACTGATAAATAATTTAATAAGGGATTACAATAAAGGATTTAATTTCCATTAAAAATAGTATATAATGAAAAATGTATTTTTATATTATATACAGGCTGTACAACAATATGAGTTGAACTATTTTAAATGGCATTCCTTTTACATTTACTAAACCAAATAATTATAATTCTTTAACTGTTTTAAGGAACGTCTCACGGTAGCAGCTGCTCGAGTGACACGTGTGTACCTTACCTGACATGTTTAAGTGGAATGTGTCAGTGCTCAAGTAATCACTACCATGACGATGCTGGGAAATCTTGCACACCTAGTACGTTTTATATTAACGCTGTTGTGACATGAAAGGTTTTTGTCTAAAACTTAGTTTAACATGTCAGAATTTCAGTTGGCTTAAGTAATTGATTGGTATGACTTGTTATAGGCGTCTTGTTTACATTTATTCACTTTTCTCGTGATTGAACTTTAGCTAACCCCAAGTTCGGTACCGTGTTTTTGGCTGTGGCTAATTAAAAATTGTCTCCCTTGACCTTGTTAACAATTAGATTATATAGTCTGCACTATCACAATCCTTTACAATATGCTAGCTTGATCGAGGTGCTTATACAATTTGTAAGCCCTTTCTAGAAAAAAAAATAGCAACAAAGACTATAAATACGCATAGAAGCGATGGGACGATAGAGATTTGCTATTCAAGACAGAGCTTTGTTTACTAATATTTCCCGCGCGTGTGTGTGTGTGTATGCTCCTTTTTTTAAATGTTACATTTTAAATCATTGTATCATCTTCAACTTTGTACATGTACAAGTAATCATTGTACTGTAAGTCAATAACTTTATTTTTTTTGGTTATATATATATATATATATATATATATATATATATATATATATATATATATATATTTTGCTTTTTTATATATATATATATATAAATTTGGGTCATTTATAATTAACTGAATTAAATTATTAATTGTAATTAGCCCTAGTTGAGATATTGTTTTATTTATTCTTATACTGGGCGTGGCTCGGGATTTCATTAGGACCCCGATCCTGGTGGGACACCGATCCCATTTTAACGCTGATCTCGGCGCAATCAAGTTTCCAGGTGTGATCCCAATCACGGTGTGATCCCATTTTCTTGTGGTTCCTGATCCAGGGGGAATCCAGATCCTGGTGGGATTCCGATCCGGTCGGTATCTCGATTCCGATAGGATCTCATCTTTTTGGATTCCGATGGGCTACCGATCCCGTTAGGATACCGTTCTCTATGGGATCCCGTTTCACCTAGGGACCTTCTTTTCCAATTTTATCCTAATTCACGATAGAATCCCGATCCTGGTTTGATCCCGTTACCCGATGGGATCACGTTACCAATGGGTTCCAGTAGACAAATGGATCTCCCGCCCCATTAGGATATTATTCCGCTATGGGATCATGCTCAGTGCCATTCTTTTCGAATACTCTTTTAGAACATGTTATATAACCCCTTAGAACAATATGGAACCTTTTCGAAGATTCTAGATTTAATTAAAAATGCTCCATGAAACCTGTACAAAATTACTTTTCTAAGTAATTAATTTACAAATATAGAAATATTATACAACTAATTTTTACTCTTATAACTATAGTACATTTAAATTAAAACAGTGGCCCCGGTGGGGCCCATTCAAAAAAGTACCTTTTTTTAGTTATGTCTGATATGGGGGGGGGACGAGGGCTATACAAATCATTCAGATAAATTATAGAATAAAATTTAAAAATTGTCCCATTAAAATCGATTTAAAATGCCATACATATAGCTTTTTAAAATTATCGATTTTTCTGGAAAATTCTAGATTGGATATTATTAGTTTTAAATCCAGCGATATTTCAATACGGACTAAGAAGCGTAATTAACAAAGCTAGGCACCGATCCACAAATTCACCTAGAACGTATACCGTTGAATTACCTCATTGATATCCATATAGCTTACATAAGGAGTAATGAATTGGGGCTCCCGGCCCCAGAGAAATGGATATTACGAGTTCAGTACCCTTTGGTATTTGAATATGGATGATCATGTGTATTTATCATAAGTTTGGTCAAGATCCATCTATTCATGTAGGAGTGTTAAGCCTATTGATATTTTATTTAGCTTATATTAGAACAAATTAAATTTGGGTCCCGGTCCCAGAGGGATGGATAGTATGAGTTCAGTACCCTTCGGTATTTGAGTATGGATAATAAAGTGTATGTGTACTAAATTTGGTCAAGATCCATCAACTCATGTAGGAGTATTTGTTGTTAATTTTATTTAAATAGCTCATGTAAGAAAAAACAGGAATTCGGGGCCAAGTTTGGTCAAGATCCATCAATCCATGTAAAAGCTTTTGTGGAACAAACCCACAAACACACTTTCATTTATATATAATATGATATGATATAACTTATGGAGTCGTCTTTTTTAGTGTACTGTCTTTTAACGCGCCATATACAAAAATGAGAGTTTTAACTCTCTATACTGATAGCAGTACGTAACAGGCAAGACCAATAAGCTCTTTTTTGTACCTTTTGCTTGCTGTGGAGATTAAATTCATTTTGGCTCGATTTGAACCAGACGTTTGAACACTCTTATAAGTAGAGAAAATAATGTCCAATAAACATTTAAGTAGCACTAAAAAGCTCCATGTAAAATAAAAATCCGTGAGTTGCAAACTGGATCGTATTATTAAAATTCAGTGACATGCCATTCAAGTAGTTTTTGTTATGTCACAAATTGTTAACTGATGCAAGAAGAAACAGCTGTCTGCCTTATAAACAGCTGTCTGACTTATAAACAGCAGTCTGACTTATAGACACCTGTCTGACTTGACGCATACAAAAAAAATTAAAATCAACAACTTAATGTCAAATAATATAACTGATCTGCTTAATAAAGATCGTGAGCCTGGGTATGTTTAAGGCAGCACATAATTACGAACTTTAATTTCTTAACACATTTTAAACAAACAAATGAAACTATCTGGCTTAGATTAGAGTTAGGTAAAAAAAACAACAACACATCACCTTGAATGGATTGAACCAAAATATATCCTTTTGTTTAATACATTGTTTTAGAGAGCCATTTTGGAGGAAATTGTACAAACCAGAGCCAATGCCTGGGTAATGTGAACTGCATCAACAAACAGTGTGTGTGTACGCCAGAGCAATTTTATAATCCAGCATCGATTTTATGTCAAAATAGTAAGTAACACTTGATCTACGCTTTATAGTTTTATTTTGCGTTCATCCACATTTATCTTGATTATATATGAGTGCCCAACACGATACTTCAAAAACGTAATTCTATTGTCTTAATTATTGCATTTACTTTGAAAAGAGTATATACTATATACCAATTTTCATTATCTCCGTCGTAAGCAAGATTTCAAGAATACTTCTGCTGTTATAATTTAATTATGAAAATGTCAATATATTTTGAATAAAATAATTAAGATGATAATTTATTAAAAAAAAATAAAAAAAAATTTTTTTTTACAATAAATTAAAGTTAAAGTACATTTCAATTTAAAAATAAAATTAAATCCGATGAAAACATTTTTAAAATATACGTTTACAATTAGAAATAAAGGCATTTCGGCAGTTTATTCAAGTGCTTTATTTTAACTTTTGCTTTCCACATGTAATTAAACTGATAAAATATTTTAAGATACTCGCGAAAGTTGGCATAGAGAGATATTTTATGGTTGATAATTAGGCCACACAATTGTGTACTCTGGCATAATGTTCTCTTTTAAGTCATTTTAACGAATTTAACTAAGAGGAAAAAAAGTAAAATCTTATAAGGTTTAAACTAATATAACATACTGATTGTTATTTCCTGTATATTGTAAACAATATCATAAGAGCATAATTTTAGAAACCCTAAAGTTAAATGAGCTGTAATTTCTCAGTTAGAAAATTAGTTCGTATTTCAAAGAGTGAAACAATAAATCTTTACAAAACTATTACAAGTTTGTCATTATTTCAAGGTGTTTATACACTCGGGATTCTATCAATAGGTGTACTAGATACGTAATTGGATATAGCTGAAAAGAAATTTGCACACATTTAAATTTAACAATGCTGTGGAAATATTTGATTAACACTATGCCCAAAGTCTCAGTGTACCTTCCAGTTATAAATTCCACAAGTTTTTCTCCCTTATAAGAAAGTAATATGCCAACACGCTAAATTTCTTCTAGGCTCAATTTCCCATACTCGACATATCCAGCCATGGCAATAAAATTTACGGGTGATCATGCAATGAACAATAATTAGGTTTAAGGACTAATCGCAGTCTGTTTTAACTAACTCTAGCAAAAATCTAAATTCTACCCAGGTAAAAAAAATGTTAATACAGAAGTCATAAGAAAATTAATGACAAAAATGTTTTAAACAATAAAAATCCAACTTGTCTGGTTCGTGAAATGTCCTATAGAATTTAAATATTATTTAAAACACACACTGGGCTTAATTAAGTGTCAATGAGTTAATGGTTCTTAACTGTCAATAGTTCTCTCAGGAACTTCAATTGTCCTATATGGCGATCTTGGGACACAGTCATTGAGGTGTGGGTGACCGGGACGGGTCACGGGACATCGGCAGCTCACTGGACAGAACGTAGGCGAATCGCCGACACTGGACAGTTCGTGTGTAACTCGCCAATACAGGATCGAACATAGGAAGCTTGATGCGAGACGGGACGTTGGTGGCTCGTTGAAGCAGGACAGGGCGTTGTTCAACTGGGTGACCGGACAGGCCACAGGACTTCACAGCTCACTGGATACGAAGTTGGTAGCTCACTACCAAAGGAACGTAGATAACTCGATACAGGAAATGCGTAGTTAATTCACTGGAACTCAACACGAAGTGGGTAGCTGACTACCGACAGGACGTAGATAACTCGATGCAGCGACGGGAGTAGTTATTTCACTGGAACTGGACACGACGTTGGAGACTTGAATGAACGGACAGAGCGTAGTTATTTCACTGGAACTGGACAGGACGTTGGCAACTTGATAACGGGCAGGGCGTTGTTATTTCACTAGAACTGGACAGGACGTTGGCAACTTGATAACGGGCAGGACGTAGTTATTTCACTGGAACTGGACAGGACGTTGGCAACTTGATAACGGGCAGGGCGTAGTTAGCCTGTTGCAGGTTAGGACATAACTAGCCTAATACAGGACGTAGGTGGTTGATGGAGTTACTGGCGTATGCAACACATATAAACTTGACACACGGTGGCAGCGGGGCTCCGACATTGAAATACGGCAACATGCGACGATGGTTGTAACTTCACTAAAGTTGAATGATAAGAATGTTCTTGTACTTTACCTCAAGTATGAAAATAACGAGGTTCACCAATCCCGGATGAGAAGCCCCCATGTCAACTCCTATACGTCTTCTTGGATTGATTACATTCGTCAGTTCTTTCATACGTTGAAGCGTCGTACTATTCTCACTATCAATTAACAAACTCAACTCCTTTTCATAATAACTATAACTTTAATATCTAAGTAAATATAATAAACATCCTATCACTCCAAGGTTCCACTCAAGACTGCCGCACGACTACAACATACGTCACAACACTGCATAGACAATACGTCACGAATCCGCATAAAAATACGTCATAGAGACAATGGCGGGAAGAGCGTTCACTAACTATAATAGTCAAGCGCGGGAAAAGCGTTCAACAACTAATGAACATAATATTGAGTCGCAACAATTACTAATGAACGCTCATACTCGACACATTGTATGAAGGGGATCGTAGATGTCCCAGCATGTATGGCATCAGTGCCAATTTAAATTAAACAAATCTATTGAGACTCTTTACCATTTCTTTGTTTAACTGGTTAAGACGATTGAAATTTGTCCAGTACTTTAGTGTTTGTAATTCCTCATGGCGTTTTGCAGAATTGGAGTCTAAAGCTGTATGCAACGCTTCTATAGATGGCATGTGTCGTGGACCGAATCTTCAGTGCCTTCCAGATGTCCACGTAACACCAAGGTGTCTCTGTAAAGAAGACATGTATGAATATCTTGGAAGTTGCCTCTTACGTGCGTACACAAATATGATGCGTGTTTACATATTTTTAAAAGTACTTTATCTGAACATTATTATTTTATCGTTATTAAACTTTAAACAAATGCACACGATTTATTTTGTATACACCCTTAACGTCAAATGTTAGCCCGTTCAATTCACATCAGCGTTACACCCCCGCACACCATTTGGCTCTTGTATCATTTTCAATTGTATTTTGCTCATCCAGGAAATCAAGGGAATGATGATATATAGAAATGTTTTGTTAAAATGATGGTTGTGTACATATTAAAATCAGTTAAGTGAATATAAGTAAAAAAAATTGATAATTTCTGATATAAAGAGGTTTTAGGGAGTATTTAACTTTAATTTATTAATTATACTAAAACTAAGATTATATAAAATAATGCATAGAAATAATAAAATTTGCAAATTAAGTATCATTCTCAATAATTTATAGTTCAAGAAATTAAGGTCTCTTGGCCTACTGCTGGGAGGCGAACAACTGACACAATAGAGCTGAGGTGGACACCAAACAGAAATGGCGCCATTGTTACTTACCAGTCCATCGCTACACCTCTCGGCAGCCCCCAGGACGTCAGACGTTATGATGCCAGGAACTACGGTATCAATGTCACGGGCCTTCAACCTGGACTGGAGTATAACATTACCATTTTAACCATAACATCACCGGACAATTTTTACAGCCCCAGAAGTGTTGGTTTAGAATTTGTGACGGAGACAGGTATGTATTTCCAAACTTTTACTTTATTATACTAAACTTTAAATAAATTTATAAATGAATATATAAATATATATATATATGTATGTATATGACATCCTTCGTCTTCACGAGACGATAGAGTTGCTATGTAGTCAGTCAGAAAACTGAGTTTGGCGCATATTAAAAACTAAAAAAGGTACACAAATAATCACGAATCATATGGACCTCAAAAGAAAAAAAAATCTTTGTACATTATTTATTATAGTGTGGAGTTCGCAGGACGAATTCCAAAAGGACATGGATTATATAATCTGTTGCCTATCCTAGTGTCTCATTTTTATTTTACTTAGTTTACACGTTTTTAATAATTGTAAAGTGCTTAGAGCTTTAAGGTAAGCGATATATACAAATGCCTAAATAAATAAATCGCCTCTCTCCACGTCCCTGGATGAGCCCAATGGAACATCATGTGGATGATAAAGCTTGGCACCCATTGAGAGTTTTATACTCTTACATGAGTTACCATCAAGGGTTGACGAGTCTCATTCTGGGAGGCTGTTTTTATGTTTTTTTTTTGTTTTTTTTTTTTTTTTTTTTGTTTTTTTTTTTGATTTACTGGGTCTTGGTGAAGATTGAACTCCAAACTAACAGCTTGAGATTTCTCAGTTTAGACTCATTTATTATCATATTTCTTAAAAAATTAATTAATTAGTGATGACTACTCAAAACTAAAGAAAAAAAAAACTCCTTTAAATAGCAGTAGAGATATATACATCTTTAAATACCAAAAGGGATTCATTTTTACCTAAAACCCTTAACTTGTTTAACTGTGATTAGTTAGCATTCCTTTTTTGCAAATTATATTGATACAATTAATAATGACATAAATTGAATTCTGCAACTGCATAAATCGATTTAATTTTATATAATATCATCGGTCTCTAAGTATTCATAAAAACAATTCATGGGAGTCACAGAGGCATATTTCTTTTTTTATGCAGTCAAATCATTTTTGTAGTAATAGTATTTTAAAAGTGTTAAGCTATTATTAACAACAAAAGTTTATATGTGGTCAATTGTTTCAAAGTTTCGTGAAATCAGTTAGCTTATTTTTCAAATTCTAGAGATTCCCCCCCCCCCCATACATAGACTAAATCTACAATATGGATCTTATAAAGTTAAAAAAAAATAAACACACATTCCATTTGTATTTGTTTTCCACAGCTCCACCAGTACCTCGTCAAATCGATGTTAATTTTTTCAAAGTTTTCTGAAATCAGTTATCTTATTTTTTAAAATCTAGAGGATCCCCCCCCCCCCATACATAGACTAAATCTACAATATGGATCTTATAAAGTTAAAAAAAAATAAACACACATTCCATTTGTATTTGTTTTCCACAGCTCCACCAGTACCTCGTCAAATCGATGCATCTACAAGTTTCCTCTCTCGTCCACCCTACAGACTGAGTTTCCAAAAACCTTCGGGATATGTCTATAAATATAAAGTAGTCCTTTCGGACGGGGAGTTCACATCAACTTATCAAGTTAATGCCTCAGAGTTAACACTGACTGACCTCAAATCAGGCACTTTGTATTTTTACTCTATCACTGCCTACAACAAGGAAGGTGACTACAGCGAGGCCGTCGTTGGCAGTTTTAAAACAGAGTCACAGGATGGTGGGTGACTTTATTAATGTATCATATATATACTTTTATTTTTAACACACAGTGAAATGTATCGGAAGGGAAGACAACCATTTTTTTTTCAACTAGATCTCGCCCTAAATTCTAGATTAGCTGTAGGCCTTGTCAATGAACAAAACTATTTTAGATAAAGTTAGTGTGTCTTTTTTTAAAAGTTTTCTTTTGGGCTCCACCTGATGGAACTAATTTTAAACAATGATACATGTTCCATTAAGTAGGTTATTAAAGTGCAGAGCACAAAATAAAGTTAATTGAATGCTGAAATAGCGAAAGACAGTCCAATTCGCTCAAAAACTTTTATGGAAGACACGTTATGTATTATTTATGATCCAAGCAAGAGATATTACATGAAAGAAATGAGCTCTGTAGAAGAGTGTACTCGAAAATCGTCTTTGGTGTCTTTTTAATAAAGTTGTCACTATCAGCAATACCAAAAATTTTAAGTGGAGCGGGCCACATTACCCATTGAACCGGTGACCGGCACCAGATTCATTCTTATTTTTTTTAAAATTTTAACTTAAATGTCATTACTTTTTTTAATCAATAATCAGACAATTCGTGGGGATCCAATCAACTAATTAGACTATTACCATTTAAAATTAATGCCACAAGAAAGATTTTTAAAAAAATAAAGGTGATTTTGGTAAGTGTTTTGAAAAGGCCCTACATTAACTTGTTCGCTGGTAGGATTTATAATTTTTCCAAATACAAATTGGCTAGCTGCTTATAAAATAAAGATTTCTAGACTATTTCCACCTTACTAAAATATTATATGACTTTTAACATCGACGATTCTCTCCAGATGAAGATCAACTTGCAGTTATCATTGGTGCTTCAGTTGCCAGTGTCATTGTGATTATTTTAATCACTTTGGCTGTTGTGGTAATCCGAAGAAGAAGGAAGGGCGCTGGAAAACCTACTGCGAGCAGGTAAGCCCTACCTTTCTCAAAGCAATTTTTAAAAAATCTGAAGTATTTCACTATTCCTCGAAAGGGCTTTAGCTAGGCATTAAAATGCATCTTGTAACATGGAAACCCTGGTGAACGTGGCGGTGTGGGGCCTCTGCCATAATAATACTCTTTGTATTATGGTGCCCCTGGCTTTATGGTTACATTGAAAGCATAACAAAATCATTTATGACATGCACCTTGGCCTTTGTCTTTTTACCTTTTCAAGATGCAACAATGGGTTAAAGCGCATTTTTTTAACAAACTTTTAAATCCAAAAATATTTTTGAATATGCTTCTTTTATTTAGAGCTTGATAGATCAGTATCTTATAATGAAAAACCTTTATTTGAAAATTTAAAAAAGTTAACAATGTCAAATTTCCTGTGTTAGCAAAACAAGGTTAAATAAGAAAGCGATATTGAGAATTAGATCAATACTTTTATAGAATGTTATTTTTGGAGATAGTAAGTAGAGCATTGTGCTACCTTCTCTGTTAATTTAGCAATGTTGAGATGAAAACTACTCCCAACGTGGAGCGTGTACCACTGGCTCGTCAAAATTCCTACAAGAATGTGCCCAAAGCCATTGCGCCGGTACCACCCAAGAAACCTTTCATCCTAGAAGGTAAAGAGTTAAGTTCAGCAAGAATATTTTTATGTGCAGTACATGCATGCTAAAATAACTCTGTGTCTGTGTGGGGAGGTGGGGGATTAAATAGTAAATCACTTCTATAAAGATTTTGCCATTGTAAGTCTGTGAGCAGAAGGGGAAAAAATTCATTTTTGGAAAATCAGTTTGCTTATGTTAAGGACAGTAAAAGAACATGAAAATAAGGATGTACATAACTGAAATTTTAATAGGTTATTATTAACCTATTGGGGTTTGGCTTGTCAATGGTAAATTGGATAACTGGAACTGTTATCCTGGGATACAAATAAATGTATCGTTGAGAACATTAATGAATACAGATGGTAATATTTAATGTTCATTACCTTTTCTTAAAAGAATGGCTCAATACGCCTCATCATCTACAACGTTTTGCCTAGCATTGAATTTCGTCTTAATGTGTCGTTAACGCATTTACAAAGCTGATTTTATTTAAAGTCAGTATAACCCAACAACTCAAACAGCTAATGCCAAACAATTCACCAGCTCAACCCAACAGTTCAGCAGCTAAGCCTAGACAAATCAAGAGCTAAATACACACAACTCAACAGCTAAGCTGAACAACTTAACATCTAAAAACACTCAACTCGTTAGCTAAATCCACCCAACTCAAGAGCTGAATCCACACAACTCATCAGCTAAGCTAACGCAACTCAAGTGTTTATTCCATACAACTCAATCACCTAAGCTAACGCAACTCAAGAGCTAAATCTACACAACGCAACAACTAACGCCAAAAAACTTATTTCTGTAATTAGGAAAACAGTGATCGAGTTATTTCGGCTAAATTTGGTTTATTATTATTATTTTTTTTTTTGTGAATATAAAACATTAGGTTGTTGCTGAAGACCTTTAACACAGCCATGCATCAATAACTAATTTTTTAGCCTACAAATATGCTAAAATAATTCGTGTGTATTATTCCATGTCTTTATTGTAACCAAGTATTGTGCGCATCTTCAACGAAGGCAGTAATTATGCTCTTTTCTAAAATGAATGTTTGAATTCTTTCTTTTCGAAAGACAACCACGTTTACGAAGTATATGGTTCACTTCAAAATAAACTAGCGACCTTAGACAAGACCGAATCGTCCACTGATGATTGCAATTCTGCGGCGAAAAGTGACACGTCGGAATATAGCAACGGGGCGTTTGCTGGTGACGAAACAGAAAGTTCGGCTGCCATCAAGGATGATGAAAATGTTTATCAAAATATAAAACTCGGTGTTAAATCAGTTAAAAAATAAAATAACGCTCCCCTCTATATGAAACACAAATTAAAAAGATAAGTTAATGTTGTTTGTTTTTAAATGAAAAAATATGTATTTTATTAATTTTTTTTTAAGGTACGGTGACCAGATTTTTCAAGGCTTAACCTGTTAACCTGGGTCTTTGAGACTGGGCGCAAACTTGCACCCGTATTTTTTTATTTATTTATTTATTTATTTTTTTTTGGGGGGGGGGGGGGGGGGGGGGAGGAATGACACTCACAATTCAAAAATGTTGGTGAATATAGACTAAAAAAAACGAGTTTCAGAAGTGCAAAGAACTAAATGATATGCACGTAGCGAAACTTACTTTGTGATAATCAGGAAAGGAGATGAACTTTTTGTGAACAATTAAGTAGGAAAATATTTCAAAATATTATGTTTCGTGATGAATTATATTAAATACTTTCTGAGCATGAGTTTGAGCAAGTCCCCTTTTCAATGTCCAATAAAGCTTGTCAGTGAGTAACTAGCTACTAACAATTGACATGTTAAAGTATATGAAGAATTTTACACAACTGACTTACGTCAGTAACATGAAGCCAAAAAAAAGCGGTTTTGTAATTATTAATGTTATAATCCTGACACATTTATTTCTGAGATGAGTGGACAGCTCTCAGGACAAATCATAAAACTTGTCATGTGAATGACTGATATTGCATTTGACTACCAGCAAATGTTTTAATGTACCGACTTTCAGTTTCGATTCATCCGCTCTCCACATGTTGTAATTATCACAGAAAAGACTCTTACAGTAGGATATTTGTCCCTGTGTAGGGAGAAATGCAAAGTTTCGCAGGAAACGCCGCAGGCCGGGACATTCCTTAGCCTATCGGGGAAACCGGGACGGGTACAGTAAAAATAGGGAATGTCCCGGTTAAAACAGGACGTCTGGTAACGTATGAAAAGTTTTCTTCTATTCTTTGTGTTGACTTCTTATTTGATGCCGAAATAATCAAATGCAACTAGTTAAATTAAATCAAATAACACCATGTATCATGCATATCGCTGCTGTATATCATGTGAATAGACCAACATGTTTTCGTTGTTTTATTTGAATGCTCAGCATCTTGGCAAACTGTATAAACAATTCATAAATATTTTCGCATTTAAAGCATTTCGAAGTTAATTATCTGAAATTAACATTTAATTAACCATGTCTCTATAAATTGCATGTACTTCAGATAACTATTTATTATTATATGCCATGCTTCCGTCCTGGCGAGACGACGGGGTAGCTATGGACACTACATCGAATGGCCTACGAAATCCATCCTGGTACGGCCGTCACGGCTGCATTTCTCCAAACAGAACCTTTATTTCTGGTTAAATTTGGCCTTTGTAATGCTTTTTTTGTTTTTGTTTTGCACACTATTATACATAGCTATTTAATGTTACTTCAGTAACATTCAGAATCTTCAAGAAACTCTTCACCAATATTATAATCAACTAATCCTTATTTGCATACCACATTGCTGGTTAATTTGATTGGGTTTAATGTAAGAACTGGACATATCGAGTGTGTAAATGTTTATTATTATTTAATTATACATATATCTTACCATACATTTAAGAACATAATAATATTAATTTAACGTATTATATGTTTTAAATATTTTATTACCCTCATCTTAGGAATAACATTCAAATCAAAATAATGTTGTTGTTTTTTAAATTCGTATTAGCACGCAATGATTTTTACCCTTAAGTAAATAATTTTATAAAAAATGGTGTACATAAACATATTTTTAAAAAAAATAGAATAAACAAGAATATGTTGCATATTTTGTGGTTTACTGTTAGTTTTTTTGTTTTTTTTAATGCATTTTTGTTTTAATTTCAATTAGAATCTCTTTACAAGCTGGACAGTTTGAGTCAATGAATCATGTAAAGGAGATGCTATTTTGTAGAGCAAGTATGAGTGGAGAGTAAAATAAAGCTGCTCATTAAACACAGAAGACATATGATAATAGTGTTAAATCTTTTATATTAACTTTGTTTTTGTTCGTGAATGGCTGGCCAACTGACTGGCTGGGTGATAAAGTCTTCAGACGGTAAATTGACCCACCTCCAGTAAACTTATCGAGCTGACACTAAGACTTAGCACATAGAGTCATTGCCGATGACAACAAAGTCTATCATATTTTAAGCCCCACCCCTACCCCCAAAGCTCAATTTTTCCAGTTTTTCAAAGGGGAATATATAATAAAATTACCGCTCACTTCGCTAAAAAATATTATTTTTATAAAAATATCACAGGTGCCTTTGGTGCTTAATATTTTCTTTTCTTTTTCTAAAATTATTGGTGAAATAAATCGCAGTGTAGAAGAGGACGGGACATTAGAATATTAATTGAGTTCAGTGGCGCGAAAAAATATGCGTTTGAAAGCCTTGGGAGGGAGGGGGGGGCGGCACTAATTGATATTCTTATAAAGTGAGCTATTTGTATTCATGTTTTGTCAAATTTTCATTCGCAGCACCCACTGCTCAATATAACACTTTATAAAGGATTAAGACGAACAACTAAAATTTTAGGGGTTGTTTAACCCTGCTCTGGTACCATGAAAAAGTCACACATTTGGTATCATGTGATCAGTGTGACCCAATGGAGAAAAACATGCTATATGACACGCTTCATCCCCAAAGGCTCGAAGTGCTGTACAAAGTCAGCAAAAAACAAATCTATAATTTACCACATTTAAAACAAACGCAACACTACAAAACTAATTACAAGCATACAATGTCAAAGTCTTTCTAGCCATTTCAACCATAAGCAACATAGCCATTATGCATTAATTGGAAAATAAGGTAGACAATCATCCCAGAAGGAGTCTGCGAAATAGATGTGTCTTTAATTCAGTTTTAAAGGACTCCAGTGTCTGGTTGTTTTTGAGATCGACAGGAAGGGCGTTCCAAATTGTTGGACCAGCAAATGTGAAAGTGCGCTTTCCGTAAATCTAAAGGCAAACACGTGGTGCCGAGAGTTTGCCACTATCGGATGAGCGGAGCTCTCTATTGGGTACATAAGGCGTCAGAAGCTCTTCCAGATAGGACGGCGCCAGGTGATGTATGCAGCGGTAGCACAACATTGCGATTTTGTACTCTATGCGAGCACGCACCGGCAGCCAGTGCAACTCTCTCAGAAGTGTTTTTGCATGGTCGAACTTGCGTTTGCGGAGAACAATGCGAGCCGGATTATTCTGTTCTATTTGAATTTTATCCAGGAGCGTAGCTGGAAGACCCACCTTGAAATAAGGAAAAAATACATTAACTACATTTAGGGAACTGTGGGGTCAATTTGACCCCAAGCGAAAATAAAATAATTAATAGATCATTTGAAATATTTTGAAACTATTTAACATGTGTCACGTACTTAGGAAGGCCTTAGGATAAAATACGTGTCAGGCGAGGTCACTGCTCATGATAGTTTAAAAAAAAACACCGTCTAAAAAGGGCTGGGGTCAAATAGACCCCATTGTACCAGAGCAGGGTTAATTACAATGAACTAATGTTTCAAGTCTTTCAAAATTTAACTATAAAAGCGAAATAGTTTGTGTTACGAAAATGGATAATTTATCCCGTATATCAAACTTTTTTTTTTATATTAAGTAAGAAAATGTTTATGCCTCATGATTTTGTTTTATATATTAGTAGAATATTTCATGTTTTAGAAATAACATCAGCTCATTATATCAAAACACTGGGATTCGAAAAAAAAAAAAAAAAGGGGATGGGAGATTGCGCTATTATTAAAAATCAGAGAGTCGAATATACGCAGGGTTCTTACAAATTAGGTATCAAAAATGTTCTTTCGGCAGTGCAATACCAGATTTTATTTTAAGTTTCATTGTCAGTACGAGGGTTTTCATAGCGTAAACAATGACAGTGAACAAGTAATATTTGACTCTAGAGCTGGATCTGAAATTCGGCACACATTTAGTACAGTAAAAATCTTCGTTTCTAAATGTATTCGTTAGCAATAGAATAGCAATTGTGACACAGTCAGACACAAATAGACACAGATAAACACAACCACTAAATTTCCGTCTATAGCTTCAAACAATGAAAGGCGTGCATCTTATAAGAAAAACTTATTTTACAAGTGCACATACAGATTGCAGATTATAAACACTTGTTCCCCTTAATCCGACAGGCAATCAATTTCACTTTCAAAAGAACATTCTAAATAGAAGAAAGCAAAATTTGACAGCTAGACATTCGTTCGTATACAAAAAAATTCCATCGTATGAATTTTAATTCCTAAAGAGAATAAATTTTGGGAAAGAGAGGATGTTACAAGCTTAAATTATAAACATAAACAAAGTAAGACAACAAAAATATTTGATAAATGGAGAATGTACTCTACATATGACTATATGCAGTGTTAGAAAAAAAATAATTGTATAATAACAAATCAGATAAATCAACAATGGGTCGCGAATGAAATCCGTAGGCTCATCCATAGAGAGACTGCCAATACAAACTATTGAAGAAAATGGCCCAGTTGAACTGAAAGAGGAGGTACTGAGGCTCCGCCGAACCATCCAACGGTTATTGCGAAGATCTTATTTGAACTACCTGAACGGTATCTTCTCAGAGGAAGACACCCCGACCAAAGGTGTCAAGAAAAGCGCTTTTGGAGCTTTGTGAAGCATCAAAAGTCCTCAAACGCTGGAGTTTCCCCGCTGAGATGGGATGGCCATTTGACATCTGAACCTAAAACACAGGCTTGTATACTGAATCCTTAGTTCCAGTCGGTCTTTGGCGACGGTAAATAGTACTCGGAGGCTGAATTCCATCTCAATACCAAAATGATGAACAAAGCCTAACCTGTCATGGAAAATATCCAGATATCAGAAGGTGTGCTTTCCCTTCTCAAAACCAATAACCCTTACAAAGCATGTGGTCTTGACAACATCAAACCGCAAGTGCTCAAAGAATTAGCCAAAGAAATCGCTCCTGCGCTGAGAATCCTCTTCCAATCGTTGCCTTGCACAGGAAATGTTCCAGCAGACTGGAGAACAGCGCATGTCACTCCAATATACACGAAAGTGGAGCATACCAACCCTGCCAACTATCGTCCGATATCCCTCACCAGCGTGGTCTTTAAACTGTGGGAGCACATAATCCTAAGCACAGTCATGACGCATCTGGAAAGCCAAAATATACCCCATGACTGCCAACAAGGCTTC